TCGACCAACACTTTCCTCTTGTCCTTGACTCGGACTACTTTCCTTATACAGGAGCCCTGTTTCTGCACCTGTAGCTTTTCCCACAATAGGTAAACTTTTGCATTTAGCTCATTTCTCTGTGGCTGCAGCCTCCGGAGGTTTTGGCTCTTATCATTCATAATTGGCTAGAGTTCTTCTATCTTGGACAGACAATATCAGCAAAGTTCACTGCTTTTCCCTCTTCCAGCTTCGTTTGCTTGGGTCCATCAAGTGCCATCTTCCCTCCCATTAATATTACTTAAGCATAAAATTGAACATTTTACTTTTAACAGCAAAAATTAAGAAACTTATAAATGAGGCCTAAACTGTAAACATCAGGATAAGTAAATCAAAGGAAGAGCTATTAAGAGACAACTTGAAAATCAGCTAAAATCACCTTTCCAAATGTGAAACTAAGTCTCCTACTTATCATGACAACTTTATATATGAATAAAACAAAACTTAAAGGTTCTAGGAGAGGGTGGCGCCTGTGACTCAGTGGGTAGGGCACCGGCCTCATATACCAAGGGTGGTGGGTTCAAACCTGGCCGCGGCCAAACTGCAACAAAAAAATAGCCAAGTGTAATGGTGGGCGCCTATAGTCCCAGCTACTTAGGAAGCTGAGGAAAGAGAATCGCTTAAGCCCAGGAGTTAGAGGTTGCTGTGAGCTGTGACAACACAGCACTCTACCAAGGGCGATAAAGTGAGACTCTGTCTCTAAAAAAAAAAAAAAAGTTCTAGGAGACCTGTTCTTGTTTCGATGTGGACTTTGTACAGAGTTTATTTAAAAGCAGAAAGCACTTGTCTTTATCTTTCATCTCAATCAGGGATTGAGACAGTCTGTCTCAAAACTTGTGTAGTGACCCATATGTGAATAAAGACAGAAGACTTAAGTCATCTTTACGCTAAATCCCTGTCTACTTAAAGAGCAAGGTAAAGACAAAGCAATGAGGAAAATCACTAATTAACAGATTAAGTTATATTTTTGTCTTAGTTTCTATAAGACAAAACTAATAATGAATTTTTGGACTGTGTCATTCTTCTTAAACACTTTGAAATGGTTTTAATTAATGTAATCATGTAGTTTTTTTAAAAAGCTCTAGATTTTTAAGGCTCAGTAGTCAAAAGTGAAAGTTAAGAGTGAGACTAATATTGACAATACAAAGCTAGGAAAAGAACCCATGGCTGCCTCTAGCAAGGTGCCTTAGGTAAGAGGGACACTTCGTACATTTTTTGCTGAACTGAATTGCCAATCCCTGCTGTCCATTGAGCCTTCTAAGCATTTACAGAGGCAAACACTTGTTTGTTTTAGAGTCAAGCACAATAACCTTATTAAGTTAGCAAAGTAAAGCTGCAATAGTTCATACTTGTCTTAATTTAGCTCTTGCTTCTTTTCCGCCATTCTTCCATGTGGAACTAAACAGCAGTCAAATACTTAACCTATAATTGAAAAAAACAAAAGTAAGCAGAAGTACCACTTTTGAGCATTAACTTTTCCTATAAATTGACAATGTTTCATTTGTAGTAATGCTTTGATGTTTAAATATAGGTATGCAGTTAGCCAGAAATACATGGAATTTAAACTAAACTGGTCTTAAGTCTAACTATAGGCACTTAAGTTCACCAATAAAATCTTTAAGTTGGATAAAAGCCTTAAAATTAAATTCTTATATGCTTAAATTATGTAACTTTTATTTTATTGTGTTTTTCAATATGCTTTAATAAAAACTGAGCAATAAAAATTCAAAGTCAAGGCTGGGCACGGTGGCTCACATCTGTAATCCTAGCACTCTGGGCAGCTGAGGCAGGTGGACACCCTGAGCTCAGGAGTTCAAGACCAGCCTGAGCAAGAGTGAGACCCCATCTCTAAAAATAGGTAGGCATTGTGGCAGGCACCTGTACTCCCAGGTACTTGGGAGGCAAGAGGACCACTTGAGCCCAAGAGTTTGAGGTTGCTGTGAGCTATGCCACCACAGCACTCTACTGAGGGTGACAGAGTGAGACTGTCTCAAAAAAAAAAAAATTCAAAGTCAAAATGGATGAAGTTATTCGGTTTTTTTTTAGACAGAGCCTCAAGCTGTCCCCCTGGGTAGAGTGCTATGGCATCACAGCTCACAGCAACCTCCAACTCCTGGGCTTAAGTGAGTCTCC